CATTTTTTTTTATTTGTACTAAAAGTGGAAAATTGCCATAAGCAAAAAAAAAAAAAAAGCAAAAAAGGGCAGCCATTCCTGTCCACACTACATTCAGGCCCAGGCACCAAGCAGGAGACTCTCATGTACCAGTGTATAAGATCTGAGGTAAAATTAGTGAATTTTTGACTTCCCAGGAACGTAGCCAAAATGCTATTTTTCCCAACTGTCAAACTTTGTGGTCTGTTGCTTCTGCTGCAAACTATGTGCAAGGTCCCTCAAAAGAAATCAACCTGTGTACGTCTGTTAGGGTGGCCATCACGGAGGACATTCCGGTTTTCTGCTACTCTGTCCTCTATTGATATGAAACCCAGCATCTTTATGTCCTCTATTTTTCTCTTCAAGAGAAAAATAGAGGATAGAAAGGCTTCCAGTTTTGTATCAATAGAGGACAGAGGACAACCGGATTGTCCTCTATGATAGCCACCCTAGCGTGTGTGTATGCGCTTGCATACACGTGCGTGTGTGCACTCACACAATCACACATGTATGGAGAGGTCCTCAACCCTCAAGCAAGCTGCATTAATATCACTGCCAATGCCCTGTGGCTAGGGGAGAGGGGCTTGTGGAGGCCTCAGATGTAGACCCTGGGGTCTCTGAGCTGAGTTAAAGGAGCACAGGTTGTCAGACACCCCCAACTGCAACCTACTTTCTGCATGTCCTCTTTTTCCAGGATAACACGTCCCATATCCCTGGCTGAAGAGGCCTGTAGGAGCAGAGCTACTGGGCGTTTTCCTGTTGCTTGATAGCAGCTCAGTCCCGTTCTCCCTGCGCTTAGCGGCTCCCCCTGCCTGACCCCTCAGTCTCTGGGCAATGGCACAGAAGCCAGCTCCCTCAGGTCCTGCCCTAGACGGGAGGCCAGGTGATAGCTCGGGGCTACCCTTGCACCCTCGCCCATGCCTGCTGGCAGCCAGGACCTTGTCCTTCAACCTCAGGGCGCTGGTGGGGACCTGCTGCCTTTTGTGAACACCAGCACCGGGGGACATGTGTCTGCCTAGGAGACTGGGAGTGGCAGTGGTCTCCTCGTGGCATCTGCGGCCACCCCCGTATTGGATCACAGAGCCGCAACGGTGGGCACCAAAGCTGTTTACATAAACCATCCGTATCCGCTCCTGGCCAGAGCCAGACCCAGGCTTCATGCTCAAGAAGGCTGGATGAATCGTGGGGGAGGAGAGGGTGACACCGGTTCTCCTCACACATGGGGTGTGTGCGTGTTGTTGGGGGGGGGGGGAAGCCACCAGATGGGGCATCACGGGAGAAACCACTGGGAGAACCTCATGGAGGGTCTAGTGGAAGGAAGTGACCCCCCCTGCCCTCCACCTTGAGCGCAGCCCATTGGGATTTGGGGGCAGGAGAGAGCCCACCATGACTGGGATGGGAGGTCTGCCACTGAGTGAATGGACATGAGAAGGGGCATGGAGGGGTGGCAATGGGCAGGAAAGGGGAGATGGAGAAGAGGCATCGGGTACTGGAGGATGTTTCCGCCGTCATTTCCAACAGCTCTTCAGAGGTCTCCACTCTGAGTTCATTGTCCTACAGCAGGTGGGAGGCACAGAGACAGGGCAAGCCATTTGTGAGCTGCATATAGGAGCCGCCACTCCAAGCTCTGCATGGCTGGGAGTTCGCAAGAACACGAACTGTTTCTGGGTCATAGGGGAGCAACACATTAAGAGACAGGAAAGTCAGGTCACTGCTAAACTGCAATAACAGCGCCAGGAGTGTTGCAAACTGCTATGAAAACTTTCCAGAACAAGGCCATTAATCCATTCACCCAAGCTTTGCCTTGCTGCTGATGGTGATGGAAAAGCTAGTCACGACTTAACTTACCTGTCAAAAAAATCGCTGGTCCTAGAAGAATAGTAAGATTCTTGTGTGTGTTTAAGACTGGATTCAAAGTTCACCACCACATGCAGTTTGGTTCGCATTATCACCATCATCTGGAGGCGTGGTCACTTATATTGTATACCTGTTTTGACTTGCAAGAATAGCAAATACTATTTTGGCTCTTTTTTTTTTGCTTTTATAAATTGTTAAAAGTCACAATAGCAGTAGAATTCAAAACGGGCCCTAGCCTGCTTCAGTTATTAGTGCTAGAGCTGGCAGGCTGAGCTGCCAGTAGAAATACTAGTTTAACCAGTGTCAGCGTGGATCCCTGAATTAATTAGTGCTTTTAAGTTATTATATTCTCAGCCTTGCCACTGTCAAAACGTTACATATACTGTTCCTGAAAGAACACCTATTACATTCTAAATTCCTTATATTTGAAAAGTTTCTCGCTATGCCAACAGGGTTTCAGTGCAACTCATCTGTTTCATAAACTTTTATGTAACATGGGACTTTCAAATGCATTTAAGAGTGAAAAAGTCCTAATGACATCTGCTTAGTCACATACGCACCATTAACAATCCCACTTGGGATTATTTCACAATGTTTCAAAGCCTTGATTTACCTGTTTGAAAGAACTAGCAGTGTTACAAGTTAACACTTGGGAAACGGCTCTTTTATTTTAATGCAGCATGAGAGAATGTACAATTTTGGAGAATATATTTCCCTTGCAGACTGCTCTAGAGCCAGGTGATGTTATAAGGGGTGCTTTTCCATATATTGGATTGGATTTGATTTTGGATGAAGTCTATGACTATAGAAGTGGGGTTTTTTTCAAATGCCATTTTGAGTCCTTCCTCTTGAAATGGCACCCTGAGTATCGAAATATGAACAGCGCAGGTGGAAAGAGACCGTTGTTCAAATATACTCCACAAGATGGCAGCCTTACCTATGGAAAAGACAGTATAATGTTGCAGAGCCTGATAGTTTGCCACAAATACTATTTTTCAGTGAGAGAAGTACAGCTATGGTAGCCCCCAAATGCCTGTCCCATAAAAATAAGATTACATGTATACAATACAGCCATCACTTGAACCACATCCTGCAAAAGATAATGAAACGCTTACCTAGCCACAGTGCCAAACAAACCCGGAGCCCTCTCCTTCCCAAAATGTCTGAAGTAAATTAATAGGATTAGTAAAGAGACTTGTGTGCTAACGAACTCCAAGGAGGTGAGCCAATTCCAGATCCAAAAGCCATGATCCCAGAGTGTAAATTAAATACTGTCACTTTAATCAGGTGAAAGTAATAAGGCACAGTGGCTCAACCCCTAAAAACACAGGCATTTTCCCCTGACATGAAAATAAGTAGCCTCCATTTTGATTATCTAGCCATTTTACACTTCACATGGAAACCTGATGCTGTATATTTCTGATCAGGAGTCTGGTTTTCCAACTAGCAGACAGCTTCCCTCCTATGGCCCCTTCAGTAGTCTCTGTATTGACAGTCAGGAGAGTTGTGCCAAGCAGGTGGTATTGCTCCACATCCGTGCTGTGTGTTCTCCTACTCTTTGTCATTTCAAAGGCACAGCCCTCATGTGACAGGTTTTGTTCATCCTTCCCCTACCACTATGTTGCCAGAAGCAGACCTGATTTGGAAAGCAGCCTCCACCCAGCATCCCATTTCAGCATCTTGAAATGACGAGTAGAATTGCCGCCATCTAAAAATCACAAGTATGTGGGTACAAAATGGCCATCTGCTTTCCAGGAACTCTAGAATTGGAAACTGTCTCCTCATTTTAGACGTACAAATTTACTACTCCAGCACAACAAAAAGGGCCACCTCACTAACCTTTCTTCTAGCTGATTCAAAAGCAGTCATCAAAAAAAATTAAAATATACAGATGGAGCAATTACTTCACTGATATGTATCTATTTCACAACATTGATGGACAATAGCTATCAGTGAAATAATCGCTCCTTAGTTACTCCTCATTTTAGAATACATGGAGAAGTCCAGCACCACAACTGATTGACTTTTTTTGAAGAAGGAGTCCGAACACTGTAGAGAGGTCGTGTATGAGTCAACATCCATGCAAGCTCCAGCCTTTGTCCTTCTGCCCATGCTGGACTCCATATAGTAAGATGTTTGCAACAATTTTTGAACCAGCTGCTTCACTGTGCTCCTGCACCATCTTAAGGCTGGAGGCTTCATTCCCAAGCTGAAGAAGGGTCAGAGTGGTGACTTAGTTGCATATACAGAAGCCAAAGTTTAGGCTCACAACTACGCTTTGTATGTAATATGTGTGTCGTAGAGGGAATGGCAGTCTTCATTCCATTTCTGAGCTCAGGCCATGGTCTTCATTAAATATTAATTTCCAGCACTGGATGAATATTTCATTAACCCATGCAATATAAAGACATTTTGATCTAGCCCAGTGGTTTTTAGTCTGTGGTCCATGGAGACCTGGGGGTCCACAGATGATGTCTAAAGTATCCACAAACGATGACTATGACCAAAAATATGTGAATACCCACACTTACAGTTCAAAGAGGTTCACACCTCCATTTGAAATTTGCAAGGAGTCTGCGTGTCCA